TAGTAGTAGTAGTACTAGTCCATACTCCTAGCCTAGTTTCTAGGCCTAGTTCCTAGTCCTACGAAGGATGAGATGAGGAGGATGGGAGGGGGAAGAGAGGAGTATGAGGAGGACGATGAGGAGGAGGACGATGAGGAGGAGGAGGAGGACGAGGAGGACGAGGAGGACGAGGAGGGGGAGGAAGAGGAGAGGAGAAGGAGGAGGAGGAAGAGATGATGAGGAGGAGGCGGAGGAGGAGGAGGAGGAGTGGAGGAGGAGGAGGACGGAGGTGAAGGTCGGAGGAGGATGGAGGAGGAAGGAGGAAGGGAGGGAGGCAGGGAGGGAGTGGGGGAAGGGAGGGAGGGAGGCAGGGATGGAGGGAGGGAGGAGGAAGAGGAGGAGGAGGAGAAGGAGGAGGAGAAGGAGGACAACAAGGAGGACGAGGAGGTGGAGGAGGATGAGGAGGATGAGGAGGGGGATGAGGAGGAGGAGGAGAGGGAGGAAGGATGACGAGGGAAGAGGCCCCCCTGCCCTCAAGGCTGCATGACCAGACGAGAGCGCACCGAGAGGCCCCGTCCAGTGGAAGCGCTGGTCCACCCGTGGTTCAGATCCCGTGAGCCGGGAGGGGGGCAAAGTGTAGGGAGGTCGCCGTGGGGGAAAGCGGACCACCTGAGGGAAACGGGTCCTGATGTTTTTGGCCGTTTTCGGGCTCCTGGGGCCCTCCGCGCGCCCTGGAAGCGTCAGAAGGCGACTCGGGGCGAAGGTCTCGTCCTGGGGGAAGGCCCCAGGGTCCAGGACCTGTCCCCCGCAGGACCCGTTTCCCCCATGTTAAGGGGGGGTGGGGTAGGGGGCAGGGTTGTGGAGGACGATCAATGGAGAGGAAGTGTGTTGCCAAATAATTTACAGATGTCTAAAACATGTGTTACGATTGTTTTAAGCATGCAAAAAACAGGTTTTAAACATTTTCAGGGCATTTTTCCAACATTTTAAACACATTTTTAATTCGATGATAGGACCGTTAGGGTGTCCAAAGTCGTGGCATCCACAAGGGTCGGGGGAGAAGCCCTGACATGTTCGCGTCGTGGAAAAGTTGAAGATCGCAGGTTTTTGGTAATTTTCGGGGGCCTGTACCAGGCCCCAACGCCGTCAACAGTTTACTCAGGATGAGTAAGTGGTCTCTGGCAAATGGTCCGGACCTCTGGAAAGCTACGTTGTGAAGAAATCGTGGCGTCGGATTTCTCTGGAGGGAGGGAAGAGGGTGGATGATCTTTTGTCCAGACATGCCTTTCACACCTAAACGTGCAAGCGCGCCATCGAGGGTCAAGGCGCGCTGGAGGGGGGTGATGGAGGGAGAAGGTAGGGAGGAGTGGAGAGATCGAGGGAGGAGATGAGGTGAGGTGAGAGCGATGACGACGTCATGTGCAACACTGTCGCTGCTTCTCAGCGCCTTGTCCCAGTCGACGATGTCGTTGACCAGATGCTGCATTTACGGGGATGCTATAGTATATGGAACTGCACAGGGGTAGCCAGGGCACATTCAGGCAGCACTGCTGCTGTTCACGATCACGCTGTCCTGACGGAAGCTTCACGTTTGCTTCCATCTTTCATCGGTGCGTTGGGTTGGCGGTGCAGCCGATACCGATGATCCGAAGCTTGACGTCGGAGGTGCGAATGGCTCCACCGCCGTGACGTTCGTGGCGAGGTCGGCGAGCGCCTGCACCTCGCGCGCTGGAGCCGCAGCGTCCGCACCTCCCCGCGGGGCTCCACGGGAGTGCACCTGGCGACCCCCAGGGGGACTCTGCGGAAAGCGCCGACTCTATCCGAGGCGGGAATTTGTACATGACCACCGCCTGGAGGGTCAGTTTTCGGAGCCTCGGCAGGCGGTGGCTATGGACATGCTCGGGCCCCCAGGGGCCGAAATGTATCCACATCCACCGCCCGCTGGGGCACCAGGACGCCGGTTCCCGGGCGCTGGACATGGGTAAATCCCCGCCTCGCACGCTGAGTATGGTTTGAGTATCTGTCATTTTTCGCCTTAAATCCCCCTGTAGGGGGACAGGCCCGACCTGACTCTGCCACTGGGGCCTCCAGCAGCACCCACCAGGGAGGGAGCCCTGTGCTGTCCTTCCCCGGAGGCCGCCGCCCTCGCCGCAGCCGCCCGGGCCGCCGCCGCCGCCGTCTGTGTGCCTCCCGGGGGAGAGCGCGCGACGGCCAGGGCGGACAGCAGGCCGCGGAGAGTGCCCAGGCGCGCCTGGCACGAAGGCCTTGGCATCGCTCGGACGTGTGCATGTTTTCCTCGGCGAGGACCATGGAGGAGCATCCTGGATGACTCAGCGAAACAAGCACGCACGACATCGAAAGATACACGAGGAATGGACGTCCGAGCGATGGCAAGAGGTGGAGCCGCAACGTCCCATGCCCAGGCGCGCCTGGCATTGTGGAGGTCGATCAACGGCGAGGAGGCATGCTGCGGAATGATTTCCAGATGTCCAAAACATGCGTTAAACATGTTCTAAACATGTCAAAGCAAAACATGCTCAAAACAAGTTTAGAACACTTTCCAACCTTTTGAACACATCTTAAACTCAATGAAAGGACTGTCAGGGTGCGCCTGGCACGAGGCGCGCCTGGCACGAAGGTGGAGGCCCAGCGTCCCATGCCGTGCCGTTGGAACCGTACCGCCAGGCGCGGGCGCCCGCGGCCGGCCGCGTGCCACTGCCCACCAAACCACCCCAGCCTTAGGTCGGGCCTGTCCCCCTACAGGGGGATTTTCGACGAAACATATAAAACAAGTACCCCCAAAATGCACCCGAAAAGGTAAGAAAAGACTCCCAAGCTAGTCCCCAGACTTTTTTTGGACTATTTTTTGAATGTTTTGGGGGTATTTTTGGTTTTCGTCGAAGATCCCTCTGTCAGGGGACAGGCCCGACACAACCGTAGGCCCCAAGTGGCCCTCCATTCCCAGTGTGGGGGGCATCCTGGAGCATGGAGTGGAACCCGTTCGCGCCCCAGCCCGAGATTTGGGGCTTCGGGTTGGGTCGGGGTGGCCTGGCAGGTGGTCAGCGTGGGCTCCACCACGCGCACCTCCACGGTGAGATCGGCTCCGCTGCACGCCCTCTCCGCCGCGAGCTCTGCGCCGCCTGCCGCGCCTCCGGGCGCGGGGTGGTGACTGGGGGGGGGGTGGACAGCATGGTCCGGGCCATGATGTCTCCTCGGATTTGAAGTTCCCTCTTCTGGGCGGCGAGCGAGGGGGGATGTGAGAAGGACGAGGCCTTCTCAGAAGGCGGATGATCCGTTTTTTGCGTCTTCCGGGGAAGGCGGCTTAGAAATCTTCTCTGAAGGCCGGGGGGACTTCTGCGCCTTCTGAGAAGGCCCGCCCCTACTCAATCCACCCGAAGTGATATCTCCTCAGATTTCATGTTCCCTCTTCTTCTTTGAATGCTTCTCCTGGCTTCCCATGGGCCGCGCCCATGCCTTGGGCCATGATTTGCGCACCCCCCTTTTGGACGCCCCCCTCTTTGACGCTCCCGACCCCAGAGGGGGTCCGAGTAGATGGGATCGGAGAAGCGCGCCGCATCGCCGATGCATCGGCCATGCGGCTCGATGTGGGGCCCGATTTTCTCCACTTCGCTTCCCCGTCGCATCGGCGACGTCGCCGGTGCATCGCCGATGCGTCCTCGGTGCATCGCCGATGCACCGGCGATGCGGCGCGATCCTCTGACTCCATCTACTTGGATGTCCACGAAGCAGCGCTGGACCTCTTGCAGCTGCTTGCGCAGGATCTCCCCCTCGGACTTGGAGGCGGCCAGGCCAGAATCTGCCGCCGCCAGCGCCCGCCGCCGAGCAGCCGAGCAGCCGAGCGCTCAGCGCGCGGGCGACTCTGCACTTGCTGGTGCTGGGAATCGCGATGCCGCGACTCCGCCCGCGCAACTTGCAAGCTCCACTGCAGAGATCCTCCAGCTGCGCCAGCTCTGGACGGACATGCCAGGCCGGCGGGGGACATGTTCCAACGAGTTCGGTCCGCCTTGGACGACCCGCAACAGGCCTCGTGTCCGACCGCCGCTCCCGGGGTCGCCCTCCAGGCACGCCTCCAGGCGCACCTCGGAGTTTACCGCTAGCACACCAGTGCTAGCCTTAAGTCGGGCCTGTCCCCCTACAGGGGGATTTTCGACGAAAAATGAATAATACACCAAAAATAATCAAAAGATAGTCCAAAAATAGTCTGGGGACTATTTTTTGAGTATTTGTAGACCTTTTTGGGTATTTTTGGGGTGTTTTCGATTTTTCGTCGAAAATCCCCCTGTAGGGGGACAGGCCCGACTTAATGCTAGCCCCTTCCCTCTTGGGTGCGCTGCGCGAGCCACTGGCAACTGCTCCGTGGCCTCTGCACCGGGCCCGCTGCGGGGGACGCCCCGAGGCGGCGCCACGGTCCTGATCACCACGGGCCCCTGGCTTTCAGAAGTCAGGACCGCCTCGGTCTGCGCCAGAGGGGGAGCGCGTCCCTTCCGTGCTCGATCTGCGTCCCCTTCCCCGCCGGCGTGGGGTGGGCCTGGGCGGCAGTCAGGCCCCGCTAGGCCTCGACGAGCGGCCGTCCGAACTGTGGCGCTCTCTGTCTCTGTTTCCCAGTGCGGCCATGGTCTGTGACCCATAGCAGCTCCTCCCTCCTCCCTCCTCCCTCCTCCTCCTCCCTCCTCTCTCTTTCTTCGCCCCCCCCTCTCTCCCTACTCCCTCCTCCTCCCCCTTCTCCTTGCTCCCTCCTCTTCCTTCTCCGCCTTCCCTCCTCCTCGCTCTTCCTCCTCCTCGCTCTCCCTCCCTCCTCTCTCTCTCCCTCCCTCCTCCTCCCTCCTCCTCCTCTTCCCGCCTCTCTCCTCCTTTCCTCCTCCTCCTCCTCCCTCCTCCTCCTCCTCCTCCTCCTCCTCCTCCTCCTCCTCCTCCTCCTCCTCCTCCTCCTCCTCCTCCTCCTCCTCCTCCTCCTCCTCCCTAATGCCTCCCCCTCTTCCTTCTTCTCTTTGTTGCTGCTTTTCCTCCTTACCTTCCTTCTCCAGCGAGCGCGCTCCCGCGCCCGCGCTGGCGAGGAACGGGGGCGAGAGGAAGAGAGAGGAAGGGAGGAGGAAGGAGGGGCAGAGGAAGCTCCGACAAGGCGCTCACACATGAGCTGTCGGGAGGGGAGAGGAGGGGAGGGGAGGGGAGTGGACGAGGAGAGGGGAGGAGAGGGGAGGGGAGGGGAGGGGAGGGGAGGGGAGGAGAGGAGGGGAGGGGAGGGGAGTGGATGAGGACACGGAGTAGAGGAGGAACGGGGTACGGTAGATCCCCGTTGCGCCGACGCGACGGCGGCCCCAGTGCGGGCGTTCGAGCTCGAATTGGCCAATATCGAGCGATCGGCGCTGTTGGAAAGCCGCGATCCCAGAAGTCCGGCGATCTCCGGTGTGTTCTTTTCAATGCGCGGTCCCACAGGTGCCCGCCGCTCCCCAGGGATCATCCGGACCAATTTCTGATGGCCTGGGATCCCGAAAAGGGGCCACAGAGGCCCTTCACGGAGGAAACACGCGGGCATGAAAGGCAATGTTGAACGATGAATGTTGCCGTCGGAGATCGGAGGTCGCTCAATGTTGAACGATTCGCGCGGTGCCAGCAACCAGCACCCAAAAGGCCGTCACGACACGACCCTGCTGCCAGGGGGGGCATCTTTCAGGCTCCGCGAATGATCCTCGGCGGCGTTGGGCTTGCAGGGCACAACTCGGGCTCTGGCTGCTGATCCGGGCCGATCTGGGCACCACCGGGACGGGCGCAGCTGCTGAAGTTTAGGCCTCCCAGATGGGGTCCGAGCAGATGTGGTCGGAGGTTCGTGCCGCATCGGCGACGCATCGGCGATGCGACTCGATGTCGAGCCCGATTTTCTCCACGCCGACGTCACCGCTGCATCGTCGATGCGTCGCCGATGCATCGGCAATGTATCGGCGATTCGGTACAGCAGACCTTATCTACGGTGGGGGGGTGGAAAGATCGTGTGCAATGTGGCGCCGCCAGCTCGCTCGCTACAGGGCAGTTTTTAATACATAGGATTTTTGTTACATAGGATTTTCAATGCATGATCCATTTATAAATACATCTATGCATGAACTCATCGTTGTTTTCAATACTACAAATCCCCGCATTTTTAATACATGTTCCGCACGCGGAGCATGTATTATCCCGGCAAAGCAACCTAACAGCGATGTGTAGGAGGATATTTGGAAGCATTCCCCTTAAGATTCAGATGATAATCCAGTTGTAGAATTCTGCTGTTCTCGCAGACGTAATCGCATTCGCGATGACAGTCGCAGTGGCAACGGCAGTCGCAGTCACAGCCTCAGCCTCAGCCTGCCTCAGCCTCAGCCTCAGCCTGCCTCAGCCTCAGCCTGCCTCAGCCTCAGCCTCAGCCTGCTTCAGCCTCAGCATCAGTCTGCCTTCAGCCTCGGCCTCAGCCTCAGCCTGCCTCAGCCTCAGCCTGCATCAGCCTCAGCCTCAGCCTCAGCCTGCCTCAGCATCAGCCTGCCTCAGCCTCAGCCTCAGCCTGCCTCAGCCTCAGCCTCAGCCTGCCTCAGCCTCAGCCTCAGCCTGCTTCAGCCTCAGCCTCAGTCTGCCTTCAGCCTCAGCCTCAGCCTCAGCCTGCCTCAGCCTCAGCCTCAGCCTCAGCCTCAGCCTCAGCCTGCCTCTCAGCCTGCCTCAGCCTCAGCCTCAGCCTGCCTCAGCCTCAGCCTGCCTCAGCCTCAGTCTGCCTTCAGCCTCGGCCTCAGCCTCAGCCTGCCTCAGCCTCAGCCTGCAGCCTCAGCCTCAGCCTCAGCCTGCCTCCATCAGCCTGCCTCTCAGCCTGCTTCAGCATCAGCCTTCAGCCTCAGCCTCAGCCTGCCTCAGCCTCAGCCTGCAGCCTCAGCCTCAGCCTCAGCCTCAGCCTGCCTCAGCAGCCTCAGCCCTCAGCCTCAGCCTCAGCCTCAGCCTCAGCCTGCCTCAGCCTCAGCCTGCCTCAGCCTCAGCCTCAGCCTGCCTCAGCCTCAGCCTCAGCCTGCTTCAGCCTCAGCCTCAGTCTGCCTTCAGCCTCGGCCTCAGCCTCAGCCTGCCTCAGCCTCAGCCTGCATCAGCCTCAGCCTCAGCCTCAGCCTGCCTCAGCCTCAGCCTGCCTCAGCCTCAGCCTGCCTCAGCCTCAGCCTCAGCCTGCCTCAGCATTCAAAATGTGGCCCGGGAATGGAGTTCTGGGAACTCGTAGAACACGAAGTGGCCTACAGGTGGCTCTGGCCATTCAAAATCATGCCCAGGAATGGAGTTCTGGGAACTCGAAGACCACGAAGTGGCCTACAGTTGGCTCTGGGCATTCAAAATCATGCCCAGGAGTTGAGTTCTGGGAACTCGAAGACCACGAAGTGGCCTACAGTTGGCTCCAGGCATTCAAAATCATGCCCAGGAATTGAGTTCTGGGAATTCGAAGAACACGAAGTGGCCTACAGTTGGCTCGGGGCATTCAAAATCATGCCCAGGGATGGAGTTCTGGGAACTTGAAGACCACGAAGTGCGTTACTGTTGGGTAAAAAAGAAGTCCCCGGATCCCGTCTGGATCCCGTCTGGATCCCGCCCAGACCCCCCTGGGGAGTCATGATGCTCTCTTTTGACCTTACTAGAAACCTATCAGTCTTCGCTGTTAGGTAATAAAAACGGCCCCGTATACAGTACCCCCCACCTTCGGGACGACGTGCGAAGGGGCCCTCGCGGGGGGATCGCCTCGCAGGGACAGCGCGCTTCTCGGAGGTCGATGCTGCACGCCACCCTCGCAACGCCAACCGTACTCGGACCCCCATCTGGGAGGCCTCCACGGAGGGCGCCCCGAGGCGGGGAACGCCGCCGCGACGAGGCGAGGGCGCCCGAAAGCCTGGCCCGAGCCGCGCGCAGGCGAGGACGCGCAGCTGCCCGAGGCGTCGCTGAGGGGCCTCCTGGGGCCCGCGGCGGCCCTCGCGCTGCGCCGGCGCGGCCCCGACCTGGCGCTCCACGCGCCGCTACGATTCGGTGCCTGCCCTGCTTGGGCCGCGCGCAGGAGGAGGAGGAGGAGGAGGAGGAGGAGGAGGAGGAGGAGGAGGAGGAGGAGGAGGAGGAGGAGGAGGAGGAGGAGGAGGAGGAGGAGGAGGAGGAGGAGGAGGAGGAGGATGAGGAGGAGGAGGAGGAGGAGGAGGAGGAGGAGGAGGAGGAGGAGGAGGAGGAGGATTTCAACGCACCAGAATATATTACTTTTTGAGACGTCGGATCTCAGGGGCGGGGGGGCGGGCAAATGAATGCCATTTCCAGGCCTCCCAGGTGGGGTCCGAGCAGACGGGGTCGGAGTCTCGCGCCGCGTCGCCGATGCACTGGCGGTGCGGCTTGCCATGGAGCCCGATTTTCTTGACACCGACGTCGGCGATGCATCGCCGCCGCATCGCCGATGCGTCGGCGATGCGGCGTGATTCTCGGACCCCATCCACTCGGACCCCATGTTGGAGGCCTCTGGGAGAGTGACCTTTCGCTGGAGTGACCTTTGATGCGGGCCTGCAGGGGCTCCCCGAGCACTCGCCCGTGCGCTTGGATTTGGGGCCCCCCCGCCGTCCTCTGAAGCCGCGCACCAAAGGCCACCTCTGTCTGGCGCACTCTGGCGTGTAGCCGCCCTCGTCTCTCCGGGGGGCCAGCCTCCGTGATCTGGTTTATCTTCGGGGTGTCGTACTCAGAGGGGGGTTTTCACAAGGTGGGCTTGGAGAGCGAATTCAGCTGGATGCATACACGCCGGTCGCTGAAAGTATTTTTTTTTGGATTCCCAGATCCCAATCTATTTCAAGCGCCTTCCTACTTCAAGAATTGACATGCTTTTGCTGTGTTTTGTTGTTCTCTGGGAGGGCCTGGACCCAATCGACTTTATCCGCCTTCCTAATCCATGTTTTTACCTACTTCTTCCGACCGACGTGTACGTTTGAGGAAGTTCGTTCTTCCAGGGGCCGTTTAGAGCGATTCGGTGCGCGCCTTGCCTCCGCTCGAGGCGGACAAATCTGCGCGGAGCTGCGACAATTTATGTCTATGCAGATTTTTCTTGTTCCATCCACTCCAGGAGGCCACACTGATAGGAGGGCGAGTTTCGGGGGCCCCCAAACGGTGTGGTGACTACACCGTGTGGTGAGTCAGTGTGGATTCGGGGTCCTCGCACAGTTTTGGGACTCGGGTCGCTCTCCGAGGACGTCTCGGGGTTCCAGGGCCTCCAGGGTTTCAAGACCTTGCGGTGACGGACCGTGCGGTGAGGTCCTTCGAGATTTCGAGGTCACCGTGCGGTCTGTCACCATACGGCTTTGGGACCCTCGAGAGTTGATGTGATAATTCAATCCCAGCGTTTTCCGTCGGTTCTTGTCGCTAGGGAAGGTCAGCGGGCCCCGGGACCATCAGATTGGATTCGGAACGAAAAACAACATCCGGGGAAGAGGTCGGGACTTCTGGGGCTGCGGGTAGAAACAAATCATATCGGCGGATGTCACGGTCGAGGTTTGTCAGAGGAGGGCGAATTTTGAGATAGGTAGGTGGCCTTTGGGGGCTCTCTCGTCGCCACGGCTTGACGCAGCTCGAAAACTGATACGTTTGGACCCTGGAAGGAGTGGGGATCGCCCTGCTCCAACAAACCCAGACATCAAAGGACAGTCCTTCTCAGGCTGGGCGTTTTTCCTTCACTTCGGCCCGCGTGGGCTTTTCTTTGGCCCCAGGACAGTCGAAGATGGGGCAGGGGCGAACATCTACACCCAGGGAAGTGGACGAGCCTTCAGGGGCCGCAGATGGGACAATCATCTCGTCAGATGTCTGGGATCGTACACCAGAACAGACGTACACTGGAGAGGTATCCTCGGAACCAATCGGTTCGATCGAGATGGGGGCGGAAAGGATTGGGACGAAGCCAAGCAGCAGTCTCAGTTCACTTTGAACAGGGCTCGCTGTCGTGTCGCCGCGGACGTTGTCCATTTGGGACACACGTTGCCTACCAACAGCGCCCGCTACCGGTTCTGGGACAAACTTCGCCTGCTCAACAGCGTTGAGGTACCTACCCAGACAATCATCAAGACGGTCGCCCCAGGATCCCCACCCCACTACTGAGGTTGAGATGCCAGCCCCGTGGAAAGTGTCGGGACCTCTAGGGACCCCGCCGGATCGATCTGTGATGGCCCCAGGGGCCGAAGCTGGTCGGTGCGCTTGCCTGGGCTGTCTTCGGCGTGCCGTTCTCGGTCTCGCCGTCGGTTCTTTTTTCTTTTCTCGGTCGATCCGCCAGCGGCGTCAGTTGGCCCGCGCGCGACAGCTGCCGCACGCGGGCAAGCAAGCAAGTCCTGGCATCGCTGGTTTGCAATGTCGCCAGGTCGCCTTCAGCAGCACTCGAGCAAGATGATACGAGCCGCCCGGCCCAAGCCCTTCGATGTCCCTCCTTCTCGTCACAAGCAATCCAACGGTAGACGGGATCGAGAGGGCGAACAACTGCTGCATCATGCCCGTGGGTCGCTTAAGCCAGGTATGCAGTGTCCTGTTCTGCATTGCATGGGCGGCGTTGTTCAGTGCCATTCACTAGCAGAGACCCTTCCCCACCGTGAAGACGCGTTACTGGAAGCATCTCATGATCACGATCGCTTGATGATGCCTGACCCGGAGAATGCACAATCCAGCTGGAATCACTTACTTGGCGTTCAGAAGTTAGCATGCCCATGGAGTCCGCCACCTTCCTCGGACACATACCTTCCTCGGACACGTAGGGCTCTTGCCCCGCAAGTTTGCGTGAGTGGGCCTCCCCTAAGAGGGGAGCCTCCCTCCCCCCCAGTCTCCAGATGCGGCGGACACCGCACCCTTTGCAGCGCTGAGCCTCTCCCATGAAGTGTGCCACTGGTTGGCAACTGGGGGCGTGCTCCTGCTGTACTTCCGTGCGGGTTGGTGTCCAGATACGTTTGTCTCGCTGTCCATGCCCGCTCTGGAAGGTACTGACATCAAGGTACTGCCTGCTGCCATGTTGTGGCGGATGAGCGGTACCACCACAGAGTCATCACCGCATCTTCATTCATGTCGTATTGGTATCTCAAGCAGACCACCGTCTCCCACCTGCTCCTGTCCCTCTGCCGTACTGCCCCCGAAACTCAGTGTGGAGTGTTGGCTTTCGTTCAGTTCTGATGTCAAGTCCTCCCCCACCTGGTCGCCATCGTCGCCGTCGATGTCACCAGTAACCTCCTCCTCGTGTGCAATCGCCTCCAACTCCCTCAACGCCTCCTCTCTCATGACGCCCTGAAAAGAGCTCTCAACTTTATTGCTCCCCCCGGTATTCTCGACGATCTCCGTTCGGTCATCCTTCCCCTTTGTACCACAATCGTGACATTCGTCGGATTCCAACTCGTTCGTACGTCCGCACTTCTCGCAGTACCCTTGGATTCCTTTCTCGAGAGATTGAGGGTAGTCCGCTGTGGTGAAAGTTGAGCCGTACATAGCAGGACGAGAGAACACCTTGCGCATCTTCTCCCACTCTCCAGCTGCAACACGTTCCTTTGAAGACATGCAGTATCCCACGCCATGCGCTGCATCCGCAGGCGACTCATCAACTTCATGTACCTCCCCTCCACCACCGCCTTCCACCCCCTCTCGTAGAAATGCACTATCCTTTGCATTCGTCTGCTCAGCACCGTCGGCGAAGGCTCCACCGTTTCCGCCGCTTGGCTGTCCTCATCAATTCGTGTCCATTTTCCTTGTCCTTTGCGACCTGAATTGCTTCCCAGAGCTGCTTCTAACGGGCCTCGTCGTTCTGATGATGTAGTTCCTGTTGTATTGCATGGTTCTCAATCTTGTCGCGTATCTCCCGCATGAACGCATCGATGGCTGCTGCCTCTTCCATTGGTATTTGACCTATTTGTACTCGTGTCTGTGCTGCCGCCGAAACATCCCCAGCATGATGCCCCCCCAGATAAATCCACCAGAGTGGTCAGCGCGAGTACCGCCCACACTGTCAAAACTGGTGGTGCCAGGTGCAGCAGGAGAAGGAGTAACGGTAGGTGTAGTGACTCCAGCTCTTGCACGATCATGTCTCCAGGCTTCGCACGCTTCTGAGTCCTTAATACTTTGCTCGGTTTGCCTCTGAAGCTCCATGTCAAAGCTCGGCGACACTCCATGTTCGCATCCATTTCTATGTAAGGGTCATGAGACGCAGCCTCCATCTCCATTAGCATCTCGATCTGAGCTGACCCCTCGAGGGCGAGCTGACGTCCACGACATAATGCCATTGCGGCATCTCCCTCTTCGAATACTCGGCTTGTTTTCCAACTGGCGTCGAGCATTCTGCAGCCGATGCAGTTGCGGCGCTTCCAAGTTTGCGTGCTGCGCCGTTGCCGCTCTCTTTTGCGCTTCCTCGTACTCCGCCTTGCGTATAGCTTGTACCATCCCAGGTGCATCATCTCTTTCGTTCGGAAGTTCCGTCATAGCCTCCTCTGTTTTGACGTGTTCGACCTCAAACTATCTCTGCATCACCTCCATTTCCTGCTTCCTCGTCTTATCAGCATATAGTGTGCGTCATCTGAATGGATGATCTCATTCGTGTTGACTGCTGATGCCATCGCCTCTGTGCGCTGCTCCTCAGCCACCTGTCGCTGGGCTTGCTGTCCTTCTGCCTGGGCACCTCGTATGTGGTGCTGTTGTTGCTCAGCATTATCCTGCATGCTATACTCCACATCGACTCTGTCTGAACCGTGCCTTCGATCAGCTTGCGTACCTGGGTCTCGAAATTCTCCATCCTGGCGGTCTCTCTCTGCTGCATGCCAGCATTCTCACTCCATCACAGGCAGCTGCTGCCTGCTACTCGACGATGGCTTTCACCTGATCGGCCGTTTACCCTGTCGTCGTCTGCGGCGACGTGGCTCCAACTGGCGAAGTAGAGCTAGGAACGATTATGGTACGCGCCTCTGTCCTCACATCAATACCACCCTGTCCAGGATGCCATCCTTCACCATCACTTGAAGTATCGTCTTGCCCTGGAACTTTCGTCTTTCGATTTATGATAGCCTGCGCAAGAAGCTCATACCCATTATACCTTGGTGTATTGCTCCTGAAGAATATCTCCCTCAATTGCGAGCTGCTGCCGTGCATTTCCTATGAGTCGCTCTTCTGAACGGTTGATCGCAGCTTGGGCCCCTTTCTGATTGAGGGAGCTTTTGCCTGCCATATTATATGCTTCATAGCAGCTTCTCTTGATCTGCCATGCATCGAAACGCTTTCTTACCCTTCACGATGACCTCCCAAACTTCCAGTATCTTGTCATGTCGGATATCTCTCCACTTCTGCAGGTCCTTTCCCAACGTCGGATACTCAAAATGAGCGGCCGATACTCAAAGTGAGGATGTTTCTCGGCATACTGCTTAGTACACTGCATTCTATTGTTCACGGTCGTCTTGGCCTCGGACTTCAACTTGTCGGTCTTTGCCTTCCTTTTCTGAGACTACTGCATCCTTTGAGAGTCCGAAGCTTTGGTAGCATAATATCTTATGGTTCTGCAGTGCCAATCGTCCTTCCCAGTCGAGGCTCCGCAACTCGAGCACCTCCAGCGCCCAGCCACACTTCCTGAAGAGTGACGTCGCTTGAGTAGAGTGCGCGCTCCCTCCAGGCGCAACAACAAGCTGGCTCGACCTCGCCGACGCCTCTCTCGTCGGTGCCCACGCCGGTTCTGGCCGCTGCCCCGGCGGCAACTGCCTCCTCATCAGCTGCTGCCTGCCGCGGGCGCCGCGGGGGGCCCCTGCCGCAGGGGAGGGGCGTGGGGGTATCTTGCCCCCCCAGGGCTGAACCTAAACAGCGTTTTGGCGATCTCGTGGGCCGTTCTCGTTTCGACTTCGTTTTGCGTGAAAGGCGGACTGAAGACAAAACGAGGGAAAACGAAAACAAAACGAAAAAGAAAGCAACCGTTTAGGTTCCTCCCCCCCCGCTGCAGCCCCTGTGTCCGAGGCGGGGATTTATCCATATCCGCCGCCTGGAGGGTCAGTTTTCGGAGCCTCGGCAGGCGGTGGCTGTAGACATATTCGGGCCCCCGGGGGCCGAGATATGCCCATGTCCACCGCCCGCTGGGGCACCAGGACGTCGGCTCCCAGGTGGTGGACATGGATGAATCCCCGCCTCGCACTGTGGCGGGCGCCGCGCCGCCGCCACCCGCGCGCGGGGCCCCTCTGCGGCGCCACCCCGAGCGGGCAGCGGCTCGCCGTCGGTTCGGTCCAGCCCTCGGCTGCGCTGCCGACGTGGGCGGCCCTGCAGCTGGCGAGGTCAGGCTTCTGGCCCCAGGAGGGACCCGACGCCACGGAGCCCTGGACTTTGTCCTTCTGTGGCACTCTTCGGGCCGGATCGATCGGTGAGGGTCCCGGGGCCCGAAGCCGGGCAGAAGCGCCTGGTGTGAAGCAAACTGCAGCGCCAGGATCTCTCAGGGCTCGGTCGGTCGGTCTTCGGCCGTGCTGCCGACGTCTTGGTATCGCTCGGACGTGTGCACTTTTTCCCGGCGGGGATTATTCAGGAGCATCCTGGATCATCTTGCGAACAAGCCACGCGCGAAACCGAAGAAAGCACAGGGCATGGACGTCCGAGCGATGGCCAGTCTCAGGGTTCGGTCGGTCGGTCTTCGGCCGTGCTGCCGACGTGGGCCGCCCTGGAGCAGGCGAGACCGCGCTTTCGCTCCCGCGAGAGGCTCGCCCGAGCACGACGACGGCGAGGGCGAGTGGTGGACCGACGAGAGCGCCCACGGGGCCCCCGTGGGCGGGCCTGTGCTGCTCGGCGGCTGCCGCGGCGCCGCGCTGGGCGGCGCCAAGCCCGAGCGGAAGACGCTGCTGGGCGGGGCGCCGGCCTGGGGCGCTCTGGGCGGCGACCACGCGGCCGCACCGGGCGGCGCTGGGCCGGAGGGGAGGCCAGGGGAGGAAGAGATGCCGATGCCGCGCCCCCAGACGTGCTCGAGTCGTGAAGCAACTCTGCGGCAGGCAGTTTTTGCCCCCCTCCCTGTCTCTGGGGGCCCTCGCCGGGCCCCCTGGGCCGTCGAAGAACGACTCCAGATGGAAAGCTGGCTCTCGGGAAAGAGCCGGGACCTCGGGGACCCCGTCTCCAAAAAATCAAGACGTTGGAAACCTGGTGTTCTTCCCTCGTCGCCACGGCCGGATTCGCCGCGATGTCCTGGTCTCTGGTGGAGTGGTGGCACGGTGCGGGCACCTTACTGGCCCCCCCATCAGGAAGACGCTGGGGTGGCCGGAGCTGTCGCCGTCGTCGTCGACAGAGTGCCCGAGCCTGTCCTCACGCGAGTTCGCCTCCCTGGCCTCGCAGCAGGCCCCGGCGTCGAGCGTGAGGGTCCGCCTCGACAGGCCTGGGGGGCGCACTGAAAGCGCGCCTTCGCGCTGGGGCTGGTCGGACCTGCCCTGGGCCCAGGCGGCCCCCCTGAGGCCTGGGCGTGCAACCATCCTCGAAGTTCGAACTTCGAGGGGCGGACTTCGAGGTTCGGGCTTCTCGGGCGCTTTCGTGCGTCTTGGAGGGTTCCTCGTCGCCACGGCTAGATCCTTTTCGTAATTGTGGACGCTTCGCGTATCCCCACCAGCATAGATGGGGCTCTCGCTGACGCAGTTTCCACCATATCGTGTTACGCGGTGGTTTGCTGCACCCCACGTCACACCGTCGTTCAGCTTCCCCACCACTCTCGGCGGCAAGTGCGCCCACTGGCATCATTTGCAGCGCTGAGTGCAGAGGCGGAGGCACTTTCCAACCACGGATGGGGCTCTCGCAGACACACTTCCCATCAGATCGTGTCATCTGCGGCGGTTAGCTGCACCCCCCGTGTCAACGGAAGGCCGATGTATCATAGATGGGGCTCTCGCTGACGCCCTTTCCACCAAATCGTGTTACGCTGCTGTTTGCTGCACCCCCCGTCACACCGTCGATCAGCTTCCCCACCACTCTCGGCGGCAAGTGCGCCCACTGTCATCAACTGCAGCGCTGAGAGCAGAGACGGAGGCACTTTCCCACCACGGAGGGGGCTCTCGCAGACACACTTTCCATCAATCGTGTTCTGCGGCGGTTAGCTGCACCCCCCGTGTCAACGAAAGGTCGATGTATCATTGACGGGGCTCTCGCAGGCACCCTTACGGCGGAACGGATGGGAACGGAAGGGGCAGTTTGCAGCTCCAGCTATGTTGCGTATGTACCCCCCATGTGGCGCGTCCGACGCTGGCACACTCCAGCTCGGGCTGCATCGGCGTTGTCCTGCCCCCCCCCATCTCTCCATGTGTCTACTGCGGCGGTTAGCTGCACCCCCCACACGTGGAGAAACAGCAGCTCCGACCATAGCGCCAACAGCAGCCCCGACGGCGTCTCCGACGGCTGTGCTCACTGCAGCGCCGACAGCAGTGCCGACAGCAACTCCAACGATAGCGCCAACAGCAGCCCCGACGGCTGCACCCACTGCAGTGCCGACATCAGCTCCGACACCAGCTCCCTCTGCAGCACCGACACCGGCACCGCCCTGTTTCGACACGCACGGAGGAGCGACGAATGTGAACGAGGCACAGTGTGGAATGTTCGATGCGTACCCGTTCATGTGCAGCTACTCCGGAGCCTACTATGACGACGACGACTTCACCACGGCGGACATGTGCTGCTCGTGTGGTGGGGGAGGGCTGACGGCAGCACCGAGTGCCGCTCCGACGGCATCTCCGACAGAGGCTCCCACAGGGGCCCCCACAGCACTGCCGACAGCGGCTCCAACTGTAGCGCCAACAGAAGCCCCGACGGCGGCCCCTGCTGCAGAACCTACGGCAGTGCCGACAGCAGCTCCAACGATAGCGCCAACAGCAGCTCCGACGGTGGCTCCGACGGCTGCACCCATTTTAGCGCCGACGGCAGTGCCAACAGCAGCTCCAACGACAGCTCCAACAGCAGCTCCGACCATAGCGCCATCAGCAGCCCCGACGGCGGCTCCGACGGCTGTACCCACTGCAGCGCCGACGGCAGTGCCGACAGCAACTCCAACGACAGCGCCGACAGCAGCCCCGACGGCTGCACACACTGCAGTGCCGACATCAGCTCCCTTCCACGGATCCCCCCTTCCACGGATCGCTATGTTGCGTAAGACTGCTGCGAATGTACCCCCCATGTGACGCGTCCGACGCTGGCACACTCCAGCTCGGGCTGCACCGGCGTTGTCCTGCCACCCCCCCCATCTTTCTATGTGTCTTCTGCGGCGGTTAGCTGCACCCCCCCCCACACATATAGACGCTCTCGGCGTGCAGCTGCTATCAAGTTACGTGTATCTTGCGGCAGCTAGCTGCACCCCCCCCCTCCACGGCAAGGCGCACTCTGAGGGTTGCATGCCGGCCACGGTGTGGGGCGGCGCCGATTGCGTGGCGTGGTGGATGTCCTCCACTGTGCCTCCAGGGCTCGCCCGCGGCGGCTGCAGTAGCCAGAGCGGGTGGCCAGGTGGGCAGGCTGTTCAGAGGACCCCCCATCCACGGTTCGCACCATACAGACGCGGCTGGCATTGGTGGGCCCCTCCGCAGCAGGTTGTCTCTGTGGTACTCGGAGTGTCGATGGTGTTCATCGACATTGAGGGTTACTTTGTCGGGATGCCTCGCCTGTACGTTGCCGCCCGGTACAGCCCTTCGACACCGCAGGAGGCAGCACTACCACCTGTGCCGCCCTTCCCCTCACTCCTCCGTTGGCGGTGCGTCTCGTTTGCGGACTCTCCCCCACTCTGCGTGTCCACAGTCGCTTGTTCCCCCCTTGCCCTGTGGAATGGTCACTCGGGTGTTGGGTCGCCACGGAGTGGTTCAGCCTTCCGCAGCAAGACAGCACCCAGGCTCCCACCAGCTGCCGGCCAGTGCGCCGCACCAGTTCCGCGACAGCTGCTTGGCTTGCAGACGTCGTCGCGGGCGTCCGGAGTTTGGCGCCCCACAGGCGACTCACTCCTCTGGCCCCCGCTGCCTCCACTGCAGCAGGACCCCCCCTGGCAGGCTGCGCAGGCGTTTCACCACTAGACGGCGGTGCCCCCCCACGCTTGCGGATCACTTCGCTTCAGGGATCGGCATCGCAGTTGCGCCTTGGCACAGCCGCATGGCTCCACCGGGCACTTGGAGGTGGATTACTGAGGCCTGGGCGCTGTGGTTCAGCCTGCCACGCCTTTAGTTTTTGTTTTTCCTTTGAATGCAGAGCATTTGGTTCAGTGCACGTGCAACTGCACGCTTGTTGTGCAAGTGTGCAATTAGCCTGTGCCGCCGTCCCGGACACGCTTGTTGCCGCCAGACCGTCGTCGCGCGGCCGCCGACCAAAAAAGTATCCCCACCAGCCCATGCAGAAACGATGCCCAAGGGAGTTGAGGTGATCAGGGAAATGGGGGAGCATGCAGAAGAACAATGGGCGTGGGAAGGCGTCGTATACCCCAAGAGGGGGAGGATGGAGGAGGAATCGTCGCCGTCGTTCTCGTCGTCGTTGTCGTCGTCGTCGTCGTCGGAGGAGGAGAAGGAGGAGGAGGAGGGGGAGGAGGAGGAGGAGGAGGTGGAGTAGGGCGAGGACAAGGAGGACGAGAAGGCGGAGGAAGAGGAGAAGGAGGGAGAGTTGGGTACCTCGGGGATCCTATTGGGGCCTCGTATGGGGTCTCTTGGGGCCTCTTGGGGGCCTATTGGATCCGTCTGGGCGCCTCTTGGGGCTCTCGTTGGGCGCTCTTGGGGGCTTCAGGGGCGCTCTAGGGGCCATATAGGACGACTTGGATCAAACAAGATGGGAGCTTTACTTTGCGCTCCCCCTCGGGAACCCCCAAAATCGCCTCTTGGCGCTGGAGTGCTCTTGGGGCGCTCTTGGGCGCTCTTGGGGCTCTCTTGGGGCTCTCTTGGGCCTCTCTTGGGGTCCTCTTGGGCCATCTTGGAACCATCTTGGGGCCTCGGAAGGCGATCGAAAGGGACCAGGCGAAGATGCAAACATCAATGATTTCCTTTTGATGTTTGAAGGATTTTGGCTTCTTGGAGTCCTCCTTGGGAGTCTCGGAGGCCTCTTGGAGCCTTTGGGAGACGTCTCGGAGCGTTCTTGGGGCCTTTTGGAGCATCTTGGGGGCCATCTTGAGGCATCTTGGGCTAGCTTGAGTCATCTTGGAGGTCACCTTGGGCTCTCTGAGGCCCTCTTGGGACCGTCATGGGCCATCTTAGACGCTTCAACGCCTCGTCGCTTCCCCCGTCCAGGTCCACGGGAGGAGGTAGGGGGAGGGGTCACGCTACCCACCCGCCCGCAAGCCGTCTAGCTCACTCCCACCCGCCCTCCCAACACATAAGTAACACCCGAGCCTAGCATGTTCAGCGGTCGTCTTTGGATGGGCAGCTATTGGGAACTTGAGCCGACCCCAGGTGCGTGACGCTTGGGCGAGGTGCGCCACGTGTGCCAGGGTCGCCACGCGCGCCAGGCACCCCTGGGGCCCGAGCGTGCCAGGCACGCCTGGTGCGCCAGATGCGCCACGTGCTCCGAGTGCGCCAGGTGTGCCGCACATTCTAGCCGCGCCAGGTGCGCCACGTTCGGGGCACGTGCAGAGTGCGTCAGGTGCGCCTGTGCACGTGACAACACACATTGGGAGACATGTCGGCCCCCACCATCCTTGTCGAAAACCAATGACCATCATTATGTCTGGTGGGCCTGCGTACAGCAGGCCACGCGCTACCACCCCCGCCGTTCCTGTCAAAAACCACTTGACAGTGATCGCGGGGTGGCCGCGCATGATCCAGATTTAGCCGCGAGCTGCATTTTGTATTGTTTTTGTCAGGGGTGGTCGCCCTGCGCGCAGCAGGGGATGTGCTGACACCCCCGCCGTCCTTGTCAGAACCAATGCAAAGTGCTCGCGGGCCTCAAGAACATGACTCAAGACTTTGCCACAACGTGTGCTGTGTATTGTTTTTGACAGGGATGGTGGGGAGGGGGCGCATCGGGTTGGCCGCGCATGCTCCAAATGTGGAGGCAGAATGCGTTTTGTGTTGTTTTTTTGGCAGGGATGGTGGGGGGGTTGGCCCTCATGGGGTTGGCATGGTTCCAGGTTGGCCGCCGGCCAGGTGGGGAAGGGGGTGTATATCAATAGGGAGCAGTGAAAAACCCTTCCCCGAAGGGCCAGAAGGGGGCTGGAAGAGGAAATGCCCTAGACCACCTACGCCTTGAGGGCTGATGGGATTCTGGTCAGAACGTGCCCTACGATGGGTCTGGAGGTCAATGTTTGGCCCCCGAATTTGAGACGTGGGCGCCGCATGAGGCGGGCCTCGCTTTCGAGGATCGAAGGAGTTGACATTTGTTCCTCGGTCGAAGGCGGCGGAAGGCCAGCGGAAGGCGGCGGAAGCACAATGAGGCCGCCTCCGCCGGCGGAAGCCGGCGGAAGACTGACGGAAGCCGGCGGAAGTAAAAGATGCGCCTCCAAGAGGTGATATCCATTTTGGATTCAGGGTTTCTCGAACCCGTTGCATGTTTTTCACGCCCGGCGTTTTCGCCCTGGCCTGGGGGCCCTGGGGCCCTCACGGATCGATCGGGCTCGGGAGATGCCGCAGAAGTAGGCAGGTGTTTTTTTGTAGTCATTTGGTAGATTTGTGACGTCGGGCCTGCCCTCCTTCCTCTCTCCCCTCTTCCCCCTCCCATGTATTCCCTCTAGAGCTGCCCATTCTGGGTGTTGTTCTCCTCTCTTCCCCTGGGTCGCTCCTTTTCGGGTCTCCCGACATTTCTGCGTTGCTTTTCCGCATGGTGCCTTCCAAGACGGTCGGGAGTCTGCGTTTTTCCGAAACGGAAGGCCGTCGGTCGTTCGGGATCATTGTGCCCGTTCCGTGCCTGGCGCCGTTCGATTGTTCGCGTCCGACTGCGTCCTCTCCACCCAGTTGTCGGTGGACCTCCCAGAGCTTCCGGTTCCCGTTGGTCTCCTTTTGATACAAGAGAGGACGGATCAAGCAGTGCATGTGACATATGGGGATGCTGGTTTGTGTCCGCTCTGGGCTCCTTGAAGAGATACGCGCGCTGGGTAGTGATGGGCGCAAAGGGGGTAGCATGTCATATCTTGTTCGAGCTCACCTGGGTCTCCTCTCCCCTCTCTTGCACATCTTGTCCCTCCCTCCCTTCGGATCCCCTCCCGCTCGGCCGCCGAGCGGGCCCGAGCGTGGAGCCCTTTCCCGGCCCGCTCGGCCGCCGAGCGGGCCGGCTCCCCGCCGCCCTGTTGGGGTTGTGCCCGCTCGTCTGCCCACCTGGCGGCCCAGTGGGCTCACAAGTACGCCGGACCTGCTCAGGAGGGAGGCTCGGGGCCTCCTGACCTTCGGAGGTTGATAGACCTCCTACCCTGACACGTCGATTAGTGAATTGGCCGTTTTCGGTTCGCGAGAGGGCGTCGCGGCCGTCAGTTTTGCGGGTCCAGGTCCGTCGGTTTCGGTCCCAGGCCGTTTTCACTAAGGGGAGGTCTACTAAAGGGAGGTTTGTCCACCGCCGAGGCCTCCCTCTTCCCGGGACGGGCTCGGCCTGGCTCGGTGTCGACGGGCGGCTGGCGTTGCCTCCCGCCAGGGGCACGGCGGATCAGCTCCTGGGGCTCACCGTCGACGCCGCCTCGGACGGCTCCCTGAAGCTGCTGGGGGTTGAGCCGTTTGGCCTCCTTGCCAGCTGGAATCGGTCGAACTTTGCCGCGTCGTTGCAGGCTGGTGACCACATCGTTGCCGTGAACGGCGTGAGCGGAGACGTGGACGCCATGTGCAGGGAGCTTGAGCGCAGCAGAGTGGTAGAGCTTTTGGGCCGCACCTCCATTTGCCTGCGTTAGTCAGGCTCATCTGCCCTTGCAGGCCTTGGGGAGGGCAAGGTGTGATCCTGGTGGAGGTGTGGTGCTGTGCGCAGTGCAGTGTAGTGCCGTGCCGTTGGTGCACGGAGGGGCCCAACACGTGATTTGGGTATGTAGTTACCCTGATCCGTGTCGTGATGTACATGTATTCGTATCTGATGGCCTTTGGCCTATCCTGCCACCGTGCCTGGGTTGTGGGATCTCGTGGGGTCTTGGGCGCCTCTTGGGACCTCCTGGGGGCCTCGTGGAGCGGAAGGCTCGGATTTTCGGTCCGTGTTTCCTCTCTTGGGCCCTTTTGGGGCCGTCTTGGGGCCCTCTTGGGTCGTCTTGAGCGCCTCTTGGGCCGTCTTGGGGCGCTCTTAGGCCGTCTTGTGGACCTCCTGGGGACCTCTTGTTCCCCAGGGCCTCTTGGGCCGTCGTGGAGCGTCTGGAACCTGAAGAAAATCATTGAACAATGACAAATAAATGAACTCGCCCCCTTGGGGCCGTCTTGGGAAGGCTCTCGGGGCTCTCTTGAGGCGCCTTGGAGGCTCTTGGGCCGTCTTGGGGCCACCCTGGGCGTCTTGGTGCGATCTTTGGGCGTCTCGGGGCAGCTCGGACCGTCTTGAGGGCCTCTTGGGGCCCTCCTGGCCCGTCTTGGGGCCCGCTTGACTCTGGAGAAGTCATGCGGGACGATGCACCAGAGTCCGGGAAGCGCGACACGCTCCAGAATATTTGAACATTTGGGGTCGGGGCCTCTTAAAAACTCCTCAGGAGTACTCAAGGGATTCGGCAAAGGACCTGAGGACACGTCCACTCCGTGCCCAGCGGCACGGTGGCGGATGCTCCCTTATGGGATCCTCAGAGGGTCACGCAATTCTTGGAGGTTTGGGGGATTTCGTTTGGATTTCGCAAGATTTTGGTCGACATCAGGAGGAAAACTTGACGAAACTTGGACGAAAGGGTGACGAGGGGTGGTCGAAATTTGGACGAGAGATCCAAGACATCCCCGCGGACCTCGTTCGCGCAAGCTGGGGTGATCTCTACACGGCGCGGGGTTGTCTTACGGGCAGCACAAGGGGGGAGACAGGCTCAGGGGCGAATGCATCGAGCCCCGATCGCCTACTCATCGCCGAGAGGGGCTCGAGAGCCTTTCCCGCTCGGGAGCGCCTGGCTCCGTTGTCGGGGGTCCATCGCCGATTTGTCGGCGATGCATCGCCGATGCCAGCTCGAGGTGCTCCCCGCCCGAGCCGCCCCCCCCCTCATCCCAGACCGCCGACGTCAAGATTGTTTCCCTGACGTGGACCCCACGAGGTCAGGGCCCCTTCCCAGGGACAGTTCTCTTACCCCGCGTCGTTTCTTGGCGGCCCCGAGGCCCAGTGGGGGCCCCTGGAAGCCAAGCACACCGAAAAACTTTCCGTCCTTTTTTTTTCGCGACGCGAGGGGTCAAGGGAGGGACAACCACCCGCACCCGTCAACTGGCGTTCATTACACGGCCCTGGACGTTTACTGAACAGCCCTGCCCTGTCCGATGCCTTCTGTGGGTGCGTTTGCGAAACGGCTTCGCGTGTCGGGGTGATCCTTTTGGGGTTGAATTTTCCGCCCTCTAAGCGGGTCTGGGATCGTCCCCCCTCGCTGCCGGGCCGCCGCTCGGCCTGGAGGCCCCCCCCGAGGAGAGCGGCCCGCTGTCGGCACCGCGAGGCGGCCGCGCAAAGCCGCGCGTCCACGCCGCGGGGGGCTTGGCACGGCAGCCGCCCCACCGCCCGCCCGATCCCCAGCCCGGTCCGGCCTGGTGGGGCCGCGGGTCTAACAGGGTCTCTCCTCCTCCTCCTCCTCCTCCTCCTCCTCCTTCTCCTCCTCCTCCTCCTCCTCCTCCTCCTCCCCATTCGAAGAAGACAAGCACATAAACATAAACTTTTGGCGCTCCGCGCGCCTGGGCCCCCCTGGCGGCGCCTCCGGCGCGGCCCCTGGCGCGCACCGCGCGCCAGGGAGGGGGCTCCAGCGTGGATCCAAGAAATCCGCGCGGAGCGCCAAGAGTTTGTGCTCATGCCGTTTTTTCTTTTTCTATTCTCCCCATGATGCTCAGGAGGTGTTCTTCCCAACCATGCTGTGGCGTTGGGTCCTCGTTTTGAAAGGCAGTGCCCCACGTCCCTCCCACCCCCTCCTCCCGCTCCCGTCCTCCCTCCTCCCATGCCTGCCTTTACAGTGGAGACCCATGCCAAGAAACACAGTGCTTGCCTCCAGGGTGCCCTGTGTTTCTTGAGTTTCGATGGCATTGCTATGGAAAGCGTGACGTTCCCACCACTAAAATCAATGGACGTCCTGGGGTCTTAGGGTTGGGTTTCTTGTGAAAGGTTTCTTGTGGCTGGACCGCTACTGTAGCCTCCGCGTGTCACTGTTTCGGCACACCCCTCACACGTTTCGTGGCCCCATGTGGAGCTCCACCGAACGTCCCAGTGGCACCGTTCGCATGCGTCCCCGCCACCCTCTTCGGCACACACTTTTTACGTCGGCGGCGAGGCAGAGGTATACTGCACCAGCGGGAAGCGATTCGGGGCAACCGAAGAGCGAATTGGCCAGCATGCAGGAGGAGGGAACAAGACAGACAGAGCGACCGCAGAGGAGGGGGGTAGGCAGAGGGCACTCAGATGTGGAAGAGTTCCACCCCGAGCGCGCTGGCGCGGCCAGCAGCGGCAGCGGGGACCGTGGCAGCGGCCGGGCCGCGGTGTCGGTGCATCCACGGGCGCTGTCGATGCCCAGTACGCAGAAGAGCAGGTGCTAGGCCAGTGAAGGCGCCCAGGAAAGGGACGACTAAGTACTGCAAGCGACGAGATCTGCAATCTAGGTCTCAGACTGCCAACAGCAAGATGCTGTGCCAGCTGGGTGGGTGCAGGGCAGGGGCTGCGGCGTGGCGCAGGGCCCACTGCCACCTCAACCGAGGGGAGCTGCGCGTCAGGGGCTGCAGCGAGCGGCGCCATGGCGGCGCGCGGAGGGAGGGAGGGAAAGGCTCGGGGGAAGGGGAAGGGGGAGGAACGCCCCCCTGAGGGGAGCCCCAGCAGGCGGGGCGACGGCGCCCGGCGGCCCAGCACCAGCGCTGCTGCCGCCAGGCGGGTGGTATCGCCATGGTGGCGCCCGGCGCGCGACGCGCCGCGGCTGGGCACAAAGCTGTGGCCAGAGGCCGCTGGAGACCACGCGCCGTCCGGGGAGGGCAGCGCATGGCCAGTCGAGGGGGTGTTCAATCGTCAGGAGGGGAAAAATCACACAGACCCAATTTCATCGTCGATTCCTTAGGAAATATGGGAACATATGGAAAGTGGGGGGGGGAGACAAAACCCAAAACATATGGGAAATATGGGGAATCCAGTTATTTGTATGTATTTATTTGTGTGCCCCAGGGCCCCTTTCAAATCGGCGCAGCTGCCGGTGACAAAACCGTGGCCACAGGCCGGCGGAGGCCACGCGCCGTCCTGGGAGGGCCGCGCACGGCCGGCCCGGGGGCGCCCCATGGGCGCGCAGTCACCTGCGAGTGCAGAGGGGGGGGGGTGCGCGCACCGCCCGGGGAGGGCGGCACGTGGGGGGATGGGAGGGCCGCGCGCCGTCCGAGGAGGACAGCGCGCTGCGGGAGGGGGGGGCGCCCAATCGGTGCAGGGTCTGGTGAAGCTAGGTCGGCCGCGCGCCGTCCGGGGGAGGGCAGCGCACGGCCGTGGGGCGCCACGCGCCACCCAGGGGGTAGCACGCAGCAGTGCCGGGGGCAGCTGGTCGGCGCAGCTTCATGTGTTGATGCAGGCCGCGCGCCGTCCGGGGAGGGCAGCGCGCGGCCGCATGACGCCCCGTGCCGCCCGGGAAGGGCAGCGCGTAGCCAGGCCTGGGGGGGCTTGATCGGTGCGGCTTCCCATGTATATGGGGCGGGCGCTCCACGGCAGTACCCGAGTGCACTTTCATGGAGTACAGGGGCTGTGTCTCGCCTGGGCAGGCTGGGCGCAGCCAGATGACGGGGCTTGTCCGTCCTCACGGCCCGGTGGTGCGCGCTAGCGTGTGGGCTGTCGCCGGGCAGTTCGGCACACCCCTCGCGTTTCGTGGCTCTATGAGAAGGTCCACCGAAGGCGGTGTTCGTGTGCGTCTCCCCCGCTCATTTCGGCACACGTCTCAGACGTTTTGTGGCTCCCGATGGGGGCTCCACTGAAGGCCCGACTTGCACCGTTCGCATGCGTCTCCCCCATCCAATTCGGCACACCCCTCACACGTTTCGTGGCCGGGAGTTCCACTGAAGGTCCAAGTGGCGGTGTTCGCATGCGTTTTCTCCCCACTCAGTTCGGCACATCCTCAGGGGTTTTGTGGCCACATAGATGGCTCCACAAAGTGTCCCAGTGGCGGTGTTCGCTTGCGTCTCCCCCGCCCTTTTCGGCACACCCCTTCACATGTTTCGTGGCCCCATGGGGAGCTGGACCGAAGGTCCCAGTGGCGCAGTCGCAGGCGTGTCCCCCGTCCATGTCGGCACACCCCTCACACGTTGCGTGGCCCCATGTGGAGCTCCACGGAAGGCCCCAGTGGCGGCTTTCGCATGCGTTTTCCCCGCACATTGCGGCACCCTTTCCCGTCGGCGGCGAGGCAGAATGGCTGCACCAGCGATACAGCTAAGAGGAGACACCGAGAAAAGCATTGGCCAGCTTGCAGGAGAGGGGGACAAACGGACAGATCGGCCGCGGAGGAGGGAGGAGGAGGGGGCACTCACGAACGAACGAATTGCCATACGACGGAGCGCGTGGGCAAAAGACAATGCCAGCCTGAACTCGCCGCTTTGCGGGAGCGACTGCACGTCGGTTGTCTCATAATGCACAGCGTGCGCGATTGGAGGAGGAGGAGGAGGAGGAGGAGCACCAGCAGCAGCAGGAGGGGAGGGAGGAGGAACGAGAAAAGAGGAGGCGAGAGAGGAGCGAGAAGGAAAGAGAGGGGGCACTCAGAGGCGGAATGATTCCGACCTGAGCGCGCTGGCGCGGCCGGCCCCGTCAGCGGGGACCATGGCAGCAGCCGGGCCGCAGCGCCGGGGCACCCGCGGGCGATGACGGGGCCGGGTACGTGGAAGCAAAGGGTAACGCAGTGACGCCGTAGGTGAAAGAGGACTCGGTATTTGCACGTCAGAAAAACGCCGTGAGGCCGCCCAGGTGGGTGGCCGGGTTGACCGGGTACGGCAAATCCACGAGCAATCTAGGTTTCAGACTGCCACCAGCAGGGTGCGGGCGGCAAGACCACGCCCAGGAGCACTGCTACCGCACATTTCGGCACACCCCGTACAGGTTCTGCTGTCCCATAAGGGGGCTCCACCGAAGGCCCCAGTGGCGGTGATCGCACGCGTCTCCCCCGCCCATTTCGGCACACCGCTCGCACGTTGCGTGGCCCCATATGGGCCTCCACCGAAAGCCCCAGTGGCAGAGTTCGCATGCGTCGTTTCCCCCACCCATGTCAGCATATCCCTCGCACGTTTCATGGCCCGACAGGGGGCTCCGCTGAAGGCCCCAGTTGCGGTGTTCGCACGCGTCTCCCCCGCCTATTTCGGCACACCCCTCACATGTTTAGTGGCCCCATTGTGGGCTCCACCGAAAGCCCGCGTGGCGGTGTTCGCATGCGTCTCCCCCGCCCTTTTCGGCACACCCCTCACGCTCCACCGAAGGCCCGCGTGGCGGTGTTCGCATGCGTCCCCCCGCCCATGCTGGCACACCCCTCG